TTTAAATAATAATTTATTTATTTGCATTAGATTTTTTTATTAAAAAATATATAAATTATAGTGACTGATGATAAAAAAATACAATAATTTATTTTAGCTTTAAAAGCTTATAACTTATTAATTACAAATATTAGAAACATAATTTTTGATTCATTTTAATTCTTACATTTTGAAAAATATCTTATAAAAATTTATTAACTAATTAATAATAATAATTTTATATATATAAAGGTTTACATTAAAAATAATACTTAATAACTTTTGAGTTTAGAATACTTTTAAGTAGGTTAGTTATCATAAAACTGATACTCAATTCTGATTTTTCTCTGCATAATAATTTAAACAAGTTAAATTTCGTTTAAATCAGACCATCTGATTAGAAGATATTACATAGCAAAAATTAGCATTTTATTATAAAAAATAAGTCTAACCAATTTTATATAGTAAAATATTGATCTTTGCTGTGTAATATTTCCTGATCAGATGGTCTAATTTAGATAAAAATTTAATTTATTGAATCATCATGCAAAGAAAAATTAGAAATCAGTATTAGTTTTATAATAGCTAGCTTACTTAGATGTTTTTCTAAGCTTAAAAGTTATTAAATACTATTTTTAATATAGATCTTTATATATATAAAATTGGCATTATTAATTGGTTAATAAATTTTTATAAGATATTTTTCAAAATGTAAGAATTAAAATGAATCAAAAATTATATTTCTAGCATTTGTAGTTAATAAGTTATAAGTTTTTAAAGCTAAAAATAAGTTGTTGTGTTCCTTTGTCAGCCACAGTATCTTTTATTTTAGTATAATTAGTATAATACTGTTATATTTTTTTTTTATTTTAAAATTTATAAAAAGATTAATTTATTAATATAAAATATTATTACATCTATTAATCATATAGGATCTTTACAATAAAAAAGGAGAAAAAACTGCCAGAAAAATCAATTTTATTTCTATATATTAAATATAACTTTTAGGTTAAAATATATTTAGATTTAGTATTAACTTATCTTTATTTTTTCTAGTTGTTTCTTTTTTTATTATAAAAGTCTTACATATATAATATTATTGTAAGATTTATATTTAAGAAGATTTAGAAATATTTATTTTTCAAAGTTTTTCTGAATATTTTTAAGTAAAATAATTAAAATATTTTTATTATAAAATATATATTGATCTGCTTAAATTTAATATTTTTATTACTTATATAATAAATATTCTATTTTATATTACAGAATTCTTTTTATAATAAATTAAATAAAAATTTATTACAATTATAATAAAAAATTATTTTATTAATCTAAAATAGTTTCACTAATAGTAAGCTTAATAAAGAATTTTAGATTTTAGATTTTGATTTTGATTTACTTGATTCTAATAAATATTGTAAAATTTTATTTGAATAATATATATATATTTATTAGTAAAATTTGATCATATAATAAGTAATATAATAGAAAATATATAATAATAAAAATATATTAAAATATTATTAGATTGATATAAAAAATTACTGTATTCTTTTGAAAATAAGCAACTACAGAAAATAAGCAACACCTGTTTTACATGTATATAAGTTCTGAAAATAAGTAACACTTCGAAAAAAATTGATTTTTTATTTAATAAAATTTTTTTTTGTAAATACAATAATTTAGCTATATAAATATATTATAAATGTTTATTTTATTATTATAATTAAAAAAAAATATTATAAAATAATTTGTGAAAAAATTAATCAATGATGTCAATGATATTATTATTACTAATAGTGATATCATCATCATCAACATGATCATCATCATGATCATTAATATTATTGTCATTATAATCATTAATATCATCATCATCATAATCATTAATATTATTATCATATTGATCATTAACATTGTTGTTATCATACTTATTAATATTATTATCACTAATATCATCTAAGTCCAAATTATTTGAAATATTACATATCTTAAAGAACTCAACAATTATATCAGTAGAAATACTCTCTCATGAACATTTTATTTATAAATATACATCTTCAAACCTTATATGATGAAGATTTCCCAAGGTAGTTTCTTTAGTATTACCATCTATCATTCAAGAATACTACTCCTTTTCATAAGATATCCTTAAATAGTTTATTAATAAAGAATCAAGTGGTTGACATTTACTTATCAATCTGTATGAAATTACTATGAGATAGACTTCACTAGCACAAAATCTTTTTTTAATTTAATTTTCTAGATGGCCTTTAAAAGAATCATATACAAGTATTACACAATTTTCTTATATCCTATTTTTTACCTTTATATTATTAAAATAATCTATATATTTATGCATTAAACTGGTATTCGTTCAACCATTATTTTAAAATCAAACGATAACTTTTGGAGGTATTTTTTTCTACATAAAATTCATTTTCCTTTAAAAATACAAATAGGAGAAAATTTAAACCTAACTATCGTAAGATTTAAAAAATAAAAGACTGTTAAATAAAAAAATAATTAAAAAAAATTTAAAAAAAGAAATAAGCAAAAAAAATAAATAATATCTACAGCACATGTAAGAACTATAGTAAATCGGTTCTTTTCATTTCCTGTGACTTGAATATAAACTGTCTTTTTTTCTTTAGAGTTAATCATATAAATATTAGCCATATCAAACCAGACTGGTGTTTCATTCATATTAAGGATTTTTTAATTTAAATGCCTTTTCAATTCTTAAGTTTTTAATAAATTAGAAAAATTTTCTAATTATTTCTAAGTTTTGTTAGGAAGTTTTTGAGAAATTCTAGTCTATTTACGTAATGCTAAATTGAATCTTTTCATAAAGCTCAATATCTAACGTTAAGATGTTTTAAAGTCCTTTTCTAAATTATTATAAAAAACCACTATTTTAGATTCTTTTAAAATTTCTAACATTTTGTTTCTTATTATTAAGTAGGTTACTGCAAAACCTTGTTTTCTTAATTGTATAATCTAGGTATAAAGCTTTTCATCTGCTTCTGAAAATAAACTTTTTTACTAGAACTAATCAGCTTACTTTTCTCTTTTATTTTACTTATCCATTTTGAACTTACACTTACTTAATGACTTATTATACTATGATCAATATCAAAGTATCTTGCTGCTTAGTTATATTTATAGTTTTTGACATAGGTAATAACTTCTTTTTTATATTTAACTGAATATAAATTTTGTGTTCGTTTCACAATTTTGACCTTATGTCTAATAGTTTTAACAATTTTCTTTCGTTTTGCTATTGTACAAAATAAAACAGATTTAAATCTATTTCACATATTATGTAATAAATAATTAATGAAATTTGATCAACAAAAATCATATGATTTGATAGTTATATGATCAAATTTTCTTTTATTTTATTAAACTACCCAAAAATAAGTAACACTATAATAAAAAAGTGTTACTTATTTTCAGAAGAACACGGTATATTCTTTAATATTTATATTTTTGAATAATATTTTTACTAATTGAATTTAATCAGAATTACTTTATTACTTATACTAATATATTTTATATTTTGATTTTTAAAATATTTAGAGATTATTTATGAATAATAATTTATCATTAAGTAGAGAATTTTAGTTCCATTTTAAAATGTAATACTTTTCAAGAAAAATGATTTCTTATTAATAATATTATTATTTTAAAGAAATATTATAAGTTTTTTGTAAATAAGCTTAATAAAAACTATATCTAAAAAAATATTCTTATGTTTCATTTAAAAATTAAGATTTTTTTATATAGTAATTATTTTATTTTGAAAATTATTATAAATAAATTTTTCTAAAAAGCTTAAAAAAAAATAATATAAATTTCCTTATATATAAGTTTGAAAGTAAAAATGTTTAATGTATTTTTTAATAGATTTAAACCTATTATAAGATTGTGCAATTTATTTTTATTAATATATAAAATGACCTTCATTTTCTGAAAGAATAATTTTTATTTTATCTTTATTTTTTCTACTTATATATTAATTTTTGAAATCGTTAAATCTTTTTTTTTTTGTATTACTGTAGTGTTTGACAAATTTAATATTATTTCTTATCTATGTTAATAAGTTATAAATTTATATAATATTCAGTTATACTAACAGTTTATATCCATAATTGTAATAGTTACTTTATTAGATGAAAAGACTAATCTTTTGAGTTTTTTTTTTTCTGAAGATTTAAATACAAAATTTATCTTAAAAGATGATAAACTAGCAATAATTAAAAATGATAAATTTGTAAACTTCTGTAAGAGTTCAAAGAATGAAAGTAAAAGGTTTATATTTATCTAATTTGAAATATGGCCAACTCTCTAAGAAAGGATGAACATTTATAAAAAAGTAAATAATAGAGCATGCATTTATAGAGATAGTAGTGCATTTATATTTATAGGAATAAAGAAGTTTAGACGTAAAAGGTTGATTTGATCTTAAGAATATAATTTTATTTAAAAATAAATTAATTTTATCGGTGTTGAATGTCGATCTTTTTTTTTTGGTTACGCTCAATAAAGCAAATGATATTAAAATATAATATTTTTATTGCCTAAAAAAAATTTAAAGCTCTAAAATAATATAATTTAAATAAATGAAATATAATTAAATAATAAAATTGGATAATTTATTAAAATATAAATTCGTCAAAATGGTCACTAAAATAATCGAACAAACTCGGTACATTCCAATATAATACCACCATACATGTGCCTGTTATCATGAAAAACCAATTTTAAATTCTTTATTGAATAACAAATATCGATTTTTTTTTAATGCGTTTACATTGTGTTTTATATAATTCTAACTATGACTTCTAATTCTAACTAATTATCTACAAGTTTTATGTAAAGTTCTAAGTAAAATGGTTTGTAAAGAAAAAAAAGAGTATATATACACAAATATATATATACATAAAATAAATAAATAAAAAAAATAATTACAAAGAATTAAAAATTGTATAAAAGAAAAATGCATTGAGATAATGATGTTATTTGGAGAGACTTTTATTGGAAGCCTTCTTTGGAAGGTCCAAGATCAAGTAGAAGAGAAACCATGTGAGATTGAAAACGGTGAATAATAATGCTTTCGTTATGAAACTTTGTTTTCGGATTTTATGACGGCAAACTATAAAAATAATCGAATTCCGGGTAAGGAATATAGACTAACCTCACTAGAAAACGAAGATCGAAAGAATAACTAGCTTACCAAACATACTAAGCCATCCGCCAAAAACTCCTATTGTTTGATAAATATAGGATTATCATATGTAACCGTTTACAAACAAAGAAATTCCGATTTTTTTATTGTAATTACCTGTCGTCCATAACCACCATAATAATTCGCGTTCAGGTGTTCGCCAATTACGAAGTTTTGATTGTTGTTTATCAAACCAGAAAACGAACCATGTCACCACATTTATTACAACTATTGGGGGTGCGATTGTTTGAACTCCAATAACGAACGCGACTAACGAAATATGAAGATTTTAGGGTTAACGTTTCGTCCTCGTGCTGAATTGCGTTCAAATTCAATTATATACCTTTTGAATCATAATAACCATGCCTTCTGCCCATAAAATGTAAAAGAGTTGTTGCTTTTAAAACTTGAAATCCAAGCCAACAAGTCAAAATCACGCGAAAAACTGAAAGAATGCTTGTTCGTGCCATTTCAAAAAAAAATTTTTTTTCTTTTTAAACGTAAGTATTTTTTAATGGATTTTTTTATTTTTTTAAAAAAAAAATCTAGTAAGAAAAATCCGTTAATAAAAAATCCAGGGCTTTTATAATCAACGAACAATAATTTTTTTTTCCTAGATTATTTCAGTTATCATTGGCTAATTAAGGGACTTCTTTCCCCCTCACGATCTAACAAATTTTGTAACAATTAATCACATATCAATTGAAACAAAAAAAGAGAACAATTTAAATTTTTTGTTTGGATATGTCAACGCACAGAACATTAATGCACAAAGATTTACAATAAAAATAATAAAAATATCCACAAGTAATTCATATCACATCAAACCAACATGACATAATATGACTTATTTCACATTATCTTTAAAACATAATAGAATTTACACATATTGTTTGTTTGTTTACTCGATTTATTTCCATACCTAGTTTCTATAATAAAGAAAAGATCATCTTACCCGGTTGCAGATATTTGCTGCGCCAATTAATTATACTTTGAAAAAAAAAAAAAATTCTATTCGTTTTTTTTTTTTTTTTTTTTTTTTTAAAAAAAAAAAAAAAAAAAAAAAAAAAAAAAAAAAAAAAAAAAATTTTAAAAAAAAGGAATAAAAAAAATAAAAAAAAGTACCCCCAAAGCATTATAGATTTATAACATCCTTAAAAAAATACATAAATATCTAAATAGATATCCTTTTTTTTTTTGTAAAAAAAACACGCGCGTTATTTAATTAAAGTCTAGACACATAATTTTTTTTTTTTTTTACTGATTATCTCCTAAATCGAAAAAGAATCTCGACTTTGTTGACTCGAAAAAAACTTGGTTGGCAGAGAATTCGCGTAAATTTTTTTTTGAAAATAATAGTTTCTTAGGTGTTTCATATTTAATTTTATCCTTTTTTTTTTTACTTTATTTATAAATATTCTAATAATAAAAGGAAATTTTAAGCGAATTATTAAAAAACAAAGTACTATTTTATTTTTCTTTTATTTTATGATAAAAAAATCCTAATAAATAATACATCATTTATTTATTTATTGTGCATTGTTGTTTATGGATTTCCTTGCAAATACATAAATATTTATAGATGATAAATTTTTCATTGTTTAAAAATTTTCTGGTGAAACCCTTTATAAATGAGATTTGGCGTAAAATATTAACGAAGAAGTTGTAGATAAAAGAAAGTTCAGTAAAAAGCGAAGAGATAAATAATGACACGTGAATTATTAAAAAATTACTCGTAAATCTAAATTCATACTTTTTATGGAACATACTAAACAAACATTACTGTAAAGTTCAGGATAAACAATGTGTAATGTACAATGAATTTATAAGGTTCATTCAACTTATTTCCAAATTTGGAACTAGTTCTTCATAAAGTAATGTTAAGTAAACAATGAACAATTTCGTTTCATTATAACTATAACATGTTATAATTTTTTAACTGAACTAATGAAATCTCTCGTGATTATTTAAATTGTGATATTAATATTGGATGTATGTTTGGAAAATTTATGATCGGAAGATTAGTCAATGGATCAGCAAAAACAAATATTTTAAGCAAACATGTATTAAGTAAAACTTTCAACATTTTAGGTATAAATTTATATTACAGATTATAAAACTCGTATAACTTAAAAGAATTTTGATAATATCTATTTATATAAAATAAAAAAACAAATATATTATTCTTAAAAATATTAAATATAACTAATTATATTTTTTGATATAATTTTTATTAATTCAGTTAGACCTCTTTATATGCATCTTTTCTAAATGCTTACTATATATTTTTTCTTTAAATACATGCTTTAACATAGTTCTAAATATACATAGGTTCTATAAAATATTTCCTAAAGAAATGCATTTAAAGAGGTCTAATATTTAAATATTAATAATAGTTATATTTTTTAATAATTTATTTAATAATAATTAATTAACTATTATTATATTTTATATTATATATAAATATAAAAAACTTTTTAAGATTTTAAATTATATAATTTTTATCTATATATTATTAATAAATTTATATTAAATTAAAAAATAATATAAAAAATATAAAATTTATTGCTATTATAAATTAATTATAATAAAGTAATAGTATATTCAAATATATTAAAAAGTTATCTTAAATAAATTTATATATATAATTTTTTTAATGTAATATTATTTAATAAAAAAAAATTATATTAATTAACTTTAAAATAATATAAATTTAATCAATTTAATCAACAATTATAAGATTTAAATATAAATACTTTTAATATATTTTAATAATTATTTCTAATTTAATTTAATACTATTTATTATTTTATTATATAAATAAATATATTATTAAAATAATAATTATAATTTAAATATAATTATTAAATTATTATTAAATATTAATTTTATAATAAATTTTTAAAAAATGTGTTATTAAAAGATTTTATATATTTTAAAAATAGAAACATTTATTTATTAATTTAATTATATTAATTTTAATATAATATAAAAATAATTATAAAATAATTATTATATAAATTATTATATTTTATAATTAAATTTTACTAAAAATGTTTTTATATTATTATATTTTATTATTATAATAAAATATATTATTTTTAAAGTAAACAAATTATATAATATCAACAAAATCAAAATATATAACATTTAACATAGGATATGAAGAATAGATTTTTTTAACAAAAAAGTTTCTAAGTCTTTAGAATATATATAAAAAATGAAAAAGAGAGGAATGTAATACAGATAACAAAAAGGAGGTAATATATTATATATATATAATTAATAAATTATTCCTATTTTTATTTATAAAAATTATTTTTAAAATTTATTTAATAAAATTAATATTTTATTTTTAGTTTTTAAATTATAATTTGTAATAATAATTAATAAATATTATATTTTTTTTATTATATTTATATAATAATATAATAAATTTAAATAATTTTATTTATTTTAAAATGTTATTTTTAAATTTACTATTTAACATTAATATAAAATTTAAATAATTTTATTTATTTTAAAATGTTATTTTTAAATTTACTATTTAACATTAATATAAAATTTAAAGTAAAATTTTCTATTTATTATATAAAATAAACATTTATATATTAAAAATTATTATAAATTAAAATATATTGCAAAATAATTTTATAAAATTTTTAATAAAAATATATAAATAAAAATTTATTATATATATACTTGAATTAAAAATAAGAAAATAAAAAAATATTTTTATTACTTATAATTTATAAAATAAAAAGTTTAAATAGATAATATTTATAAAAAATATATTATTATATTATTTGATTTTAAAATTTGATATTATTAATACAGTCAACTCTTATTATAACAAACTCTATGTCCTAGATCTCAACTTTGCTATAAGGTTATAGTGAAGATTTTAAGAGATTTGATTGGCCAATTCGTTATAATAAAAGTATTTTTATTATATTTGTTCAAAAAATTCGTTATATCAAGAGTTCGCTATATCAAGAGTTGACTGTATATATTAATTTATTAATTTTTTTTTATTAATAATTTTAATATAATCTAAAATAAATTATAGAATATTTATAAGTAATAGTTATATATTTATAAAAATATTGAGAACTTATTATTTAAAAGTTTATTTTTTTATTAAGCTTATTAACTATTATATTTTATAAAAATTTTTATTTTGTGAATTATTTCTTACTTATAAATTTAAATTTAAAATAAATATAATTTTATTACAATATAACTATTCAGAAATATTTTATATTATTTTATAAATTCTAGTCATTTTATTTTAATATGTAATTTGTTAATTATTATATGATAATTTTATTAATTTATAATTTTTTTTAAAAAAAAATTTTAATTTTTAAGGAAATTAAAAAAAAATTAAAAAATAAAATAAAAATAAAATAAAAAAAATGAAATGAAATTTTAAAATAAAATTAAGAAAATGAAATGAAACTATAAAATAAAATTAAGAAAATAAAATAGATGAAAAATAAAATTAAGTGAACAAAGATGAGATGAAAAAATAAAATTAAGCAAATAAAATGAAATGAAAAAATTTTTTATGATTATTACTTTATAAACATATTGCAATTTTACTTTGTATTTTGAATTTATCTTAAAGTAGGAAATTATGATTTTTTTTGAGTGTGCTTAAATTTTAAAAAGTAATTTTTAATATAAATCTAAAAAATCATTTAAATGTTTTTAATTATTACTTAGCCTATTTTAGAATTAAGTTCTAAAGAGATCGTATATTTTTCTATTATATAGGTCTACTTTTTACCTTTTTTGCTCTATTTTAATAATTGCAGAAGTTTTAAAAGATATTAATTATACTATTAAATTATATTTATAATTATATTATTATTTATTTATTTACTTATATTGTAATCACATACTAAATTCTTCTATTTCTGCTCACATTAATGAGTAAAATATATTGTATTATATTTGCAATTTATTTTCAAATTATACTTTACCAGAATGTTTTATTGTCTTTATATCTAGTATAGTGTTCATTATTTCTTCTCTTTTTTTTATTATTAACAAATCTATTTTATTATCCTCTTAATTATTCTTGTAAATATTTTTGTGTTTAATTTAAAAGTATAAAATTAAATGATTTAAAGGTAAAAATTTAATAATTTAAGATTTAAAAGGTGAAAAATTATATAATGCTAAAAATACTTTCCTTTATTAATAAATTTATCTATTTAATTTGATATTTTATGAATTCTATATTTATAATTGAAATAATATAATAAGAATTTTTTGTGATTAAAATTTTAATTTGTATTAAAACAAAATGTTAAAATAATAATCTTAACATCATATTATAATTATATATCATATTATTTATAAAAATTAGATAAACTAAAAATAACTTATATAAATTTAATAAATATGATATATCAGACAATTAGAGTAGATCTATAATAATAAATCATCATTTTAGTAATAA